ATATATATTTCATTATTCTTTATTAAAGACTTTACAAAATAAAATATGTAAGAATAAAATTGAACTTAATAAAACTAATTTGTATTATGAAATCTAATGCTTAGAAAAATCAATTATTTCAAAATTGGACATTATATGTTTCAAAAGAATTCCTGTAGCATATATACTAAAGTTTAAAATATTCTACGATTACAATTTGTTCAATTAATTAAATTAAAAATTAACTTTTAGAATTATAATAAGTATAGATTTATAACTATTAACTCAATAAATAAATAAATAAATAAACACACACACACACACGAATATATATATATATATATATATATTATCACTTACAGGACTAAAACGACTTTGACTCTACTGGACAAGAATAGAGACTTCGAAGAAAGATATTTGGATTAACTTCAACGAACAGGTTCAACTCCTGTTAGGTTACGCCAAAAAAGCTTTTAACTTTTTCTTTAGTTGGTGCAGGTTTGGCTTCGACGAATGCAGGATGAACCTTTAACGCTCAACTTTGATGAATGTTAGATGCACATTCGATGGTCGGCTTCGAAGACCCTGATTCAAGGAATGTAGAAGGGAGCTTCAACACGAGAAAGGAGGTCGCCTTAACTATGAGTTATACTTATGGCTACACCTATATTTATAATTTAATTCTTCTCATGTCCAATTTGTCCGATGCCATGTTGGGACATGTAAGATACAAAAAAAAATTAGCATGTTTTATAATGTCGAACATTTTTCAAGGCATGTTGGGCATATGCCAGTGTCCCACACAGATATAACATTTTTTATAAACATCGGTGCCACATAGACTTGGAAGAATTTAACAACTAACAAGCACATAGAAATAGGTAAATCATTAAGCAATTAGCTAATTTTGCATGTCCTAGTAAACTTATATTCATAATCATCCAATTACAATGCCTACAACTTTCTTTCCCAAGCCAATCCAACAAAAACACTATAGGAGAGCTTTGAATTAGCGTCGGAAATTTTCGACGCATATATTTGAGTCAATTTTGAGACTGATTTGTGACGAAATTAAATTTATTCTATAGCATCGGAATTTGCGTCGGAATATCTGACACAAACAACGACGAAATTAACGATGATGTTGTGGCGCTTTTTGCGTCGTATTTGCGTCCAATAAATCAGTGCAAAAATTTTATTTAAAAGCGACAAAAAAATTTGACGCAAAGTAGATGATAAATCCAACGCAATTGACCTAAAAAATCCTCCCACATCTTCCGATTCATTTTCATCTTCGCATGCCTTGCCCGCATCTCCTCTCCTTCCTCCCGCAACACCAAAAGCCTCTTCTTCCTCTCGCCGTCGTCGGTCGCCGCACCTCTCAGTCTCCTGCCGCCGTTCCTCCCTCCGACCACTGAAAACCATTGTGACCTTAGCCGATCGGAAAAAGGTAACTTCGGCCATTTTCCTTTTTTTTTAATTTTGGTATGTATTTAACATTAGAAATTTAGGTGTTAGGAATGTATAAGCATAAAATTTCAGTGATGTGTATGTAACATTTGAAGTTTATATGTTAGGAATGTATATGCATAAGATTAAGGTTCTGTTTGGGGCAGCTTGTGCGTTTCAGGATAAGCTGTTTATCCTGAAACGCGGCCCGTGGGCCGGCCGCAGGGTCGACCTGCGGCCTGCGTTTGGTGTAAAAACCCAAACGCAGTTTCGGATAAGCTGGTAAAACGCGCGAACCAAACAGTACGACGGCGTTTTGAAAACGCCTCTCGCACTTATAAGCTGCCCCAAACGGATCCTAAGTTTAGAGTAATGTAAATTTTAGGTTTAGAGTAATGTAAACTTTAGCTTTGGCTTAAAATTTTAGGTTTATATATATTTATCCACTTCTAGGCAATGTTCAGGTGAGATAAGCTATTAGAGAAGGATAAAATAGTGAGAAATTGAAACTTCCATAATATATGTTATTATGAGAGATAAATTGTCATTCTAAAATTAATAAAATTAATGTGAGTTGAGATAATTAGTTGATTAGTTACATTAAGAAGTTACTAAAAAAAAGTCATAAGAGTCCAAAAATTATTGATTTCAATTACTAATGGAAAAAAAAAATGACTTTAAACTTGTCACATCAATTTTTTTCGTTATGCGGACCTACAAAAGCATTCCCCAAATATATAAAACTCACCATTTAATGGGTCTGCCTACAAAAGCAAACCCTAAATGATATTTTTTGTGTAAGCATGTTTAAGGAGTCTATCAATAGAGCAAAGTTCTTAACGTTTAGTAAGGTGGTATGTAGGTATAAATTGAATTTTTGGTGTTAGCTAGGTATGCATATACATAAGAGTTCAATGCTATGCATGTAAATATTGTAGTTTATGTATTAGGTTTGTACATACATAATACTTGCATCGAAATAATTCGAGTTATATGCTTAGGTAAGGTTGTATGTAGGTATAAATTGAAGTTTAGGTGTTAGGTTTTTTTAATTTTGTTTTAGACATAATTACAATATGTTTTCTGTTTAGATTTTGCACATGCCTCCTTTTACTTGTGTATACTGCTCCTGATTATTTTTGTTGTTAGTTATGCTACAGATTACCACAGGTTGTGCTGGTGATCAGCCACCTCAGCGGGTGAATGTAACTAAAAAAATATTTTTTCATATTTTTTTGACTCATGTTTAAAATGACAATTAATAATTATCTTTTATTAAGCAGAAGTACGAGCAGCTCCGGGAGAGGCAGTTGCCCTCCTAGACCCCGAGTATAGCATGGCTGACGAAGATTATAGAAGATCGTTGGGCAAACGAACGGTGACTATTGTATTCAAGGAGGAGGATAAGGAGGAGGAGGATGAGCAATAGGATTAGAAAGAGTTTTTATGTATTTTTAATTTATGAAATATTTAAACTTATATTGATCAAGGTGTAGATGTAAACTTTTAATAATTTAAATTTGTGAAATTATATTCTTTTTCAGTAATTATATTTTTAAGAATTTTGAATTGTGATATAGCTGCATATAATGTTGTTGTGATGTATATTAATTGTTAACTTTATTGTATTGAGACAGCTTTTACTCTTGCTTTTCCTGTTTTTTAGACATAGTTGCTACTTGTGTTTTACCTTTACTGCACAGTTTCTTTTTGTCTATGATTAATTTTCCCGTCAGTAATAATCTTTTTAATATCATTCCTTTGTTTGCAGATGACCACAAGTGGTTCAAATGGTCAGCCACCTCATAGACCCCGTGTTCTGGGGACCTTAAAGACCATCTACCATAGCAGGTAGAGGAGGTCGTACACTCCTACCGCTGCTTCCACTACTGCTACCCCTTCCGTGGCACCTCCCCCACCAGTTGCTGCTACCCCTCTTGCGGCACATTCTCCCCCATCAGTTATTGCCAACCCTCCTGTGGCACCTGCTCCCGCACCCGATGCTATCTCGTCTCCTGTGACGTTTGTTGCTTTCACACTTACTCCCCCACCTGCTACCGGCATACCTTTTGAGCCTGAACCGTCAAATTATTTGTCAAAAAATTTCGACTTAAATTAGAAATAAATAAAATTACTGACCCCCGATTTAATGACAGAAAAAATAGAATGTAAATTAAATGTAAATCCGACGATAACCCTTAAATATCGTTGGATCTGTGTCTAATTTAAGTTTAATCTAGCCGACAAATATGCTTAATTCCTGTGATGAAATCACAATAAATACACGGCTAAGATTGCACGAACAAGAACGGTAAAGAGGACCATCCATAAGCAAGTTCAGCTGAAAGTTTTACACTTCGTCAAAAATAGAATTTGCTGCAAGTTTCTCCCCTCTTCAACGGTAACTAGTTTGCAAACTAGAAAAGTCATCAATCTGAATACAAACAAGCACAAGTTCTGCAATCAGAATTTAGGAGATGAAAACAAATGGCTGAAGTCATTTGCATACCAAATTCAAACATGCCTAAAGCAACTGCAATTCCAAATACGCCCAATAAAAAGCCAATCAGAGAACATCACCAAAACAGCAAGGTTCGAATACAATAACCAAATGCTAAATCTACTTAAAATCATGGCTGAAACCAACAGTGAAGCCAAAACAATAGGACAAAATTAGAAAACTCTGCCCATCCAATACATCAATAAAAAAAACAACAGTATTTTAGACAAAAATTAAAACATAAAACCCTGAAAATCAAACTATCAAATAAGAAAAAACAAGAATAAAATCAAACATGATATTTTGATTCACATTACATTAAATAAAAAAATCAAGAATAATAAACTGGCAGTCCAAAAAAAATGATGGAAGGCCATAAGTGCCTTAAATGCCATATAATTTTTTAAATCATTATTTAAAATAGAAATGCATTCGTTGATTGTAATTATCATTGTTTTATATATTTATTTCACTGCAATTATCTAGGTGCAACATCAAATAATACATAATTATAAAAAACACATACAGAAAAAAAAAAAAAAAAAAAGAAAAAGCAACGAGATATCAATTGCATTCGTTGATTGTAATTATCATTGTTTTATATATTTATTTCACTGCAATTATCTAGGTGCAACATCAAATAATACATAATTATAAAAAACACATACAGAAAAAAAAAAAAAAAAACAGAACAAGCAACGAGATGTCAATCATGTCATATTGCAAATCATGAGCACTTGTAAAATATAATGACTAGTGCTACTGAAATCAGCTTTTTAGCCTTTGAACCATCCATTTTCCCTTCATTTCAATTTTCTAAATGAATTGGCATTTAAAAACTTCATGCAGTGCTTTTAAGGGAGTGAATTTATGCAAATTTCCACTACCATATGAACTTGAAATACCCAAAAATACATAATATAACATTCTAAGCTTCTTTTCTCAACATTTTTTGTCAAGCTATAACAAAAGAATTCAAGTTAAACATTAAAATGGGTTCCATAAAAATGGTGAATATGCCAAGGAAAGCAATGAGTAAATGAGAAAATTGGTATTTATAAAAAAATAGATTTGCTGAAATAATTGCACATCCTAGACGTTCATACATCACCAAATGAGGAGCAAAATGATATTCATTTAATAAAAAAAGAAAAATTAAACAATGTAACAACATAAAATATCTCACTTACGAAAATAAACTACATAACTTCTGCAAGGAAAGGAAACGGGATTCTAAATAGGATATGAAGCATTTTGCACCTGCACGCAAGCATCAGGTCAGCCCTCTGGTTGGGACCTACATACTTGTATTCCGATAAAGCATCGCAAATAACTCTCAAGAATCTTTCTCTACTACAAGCCATGGTTGTCAGTTTCTTGTACTGTTCAAATGGTATCGTGTTAGCTATCTCGGCACTTTGCTGACCCAGGCGCTTCATTTCTTGATCTTGATCCACGCAATCAGCCACATATTCCGTTCTCAGAACCTCAAATACCCTTCGGCTGATCTGTAAAATAAACTCTTTCAATGTGAGAACCACTCACTAAATACAGAACAGCTGTAGCCTAAAGAAGGGAAGAAGCCGAAGCTAATTAACAATAGCGGGAATTAAAGCACAAATTTGGCGCAGATAAAATGCAAAACAACCTCAAAACACCAAAAAGGAGAACTTTATTCACAAGAGATCAATACTAACGAGAGAAAAAACAGGCAAAAACCAGGTAGGTATTACGCCCAGAGTTAATACAAAGCAAAATTCCATTAAAAAAACAACCGTCCCAACGCTTGAAAGCAAGACAGGCAAGCATCAAAAGAGAAAGATCGGTTTCCAAGAAAGAGTTCAAATCATAACCAAACACAATTAATTATACTGGAAATTTAATCACAAATTTAGCACCCTCAAACCATCCAAAAACAACAATCAGATGAAAAGAAAACATTAGCAACGCTTGAACTACCCTACTCAAACAATGAATACCGAACACACCTTGAAGGCATGCCTCGCCTTGCATCCCATGAATTGCAGCGTGGTCTGTAACACAGGTCGCGTGTACCGGAACGAGGCAGTCTCCATCCCACCATCGGCTCCTCCCTTTCCTCGCTTCACCCCCACATCATCCACCACCGCAATGTAGATAAGCTTTGCACCTTCCGCCATCTCCAAAAATCCCTAGCGATCAAAGAAACACAGCAGCCTATACAAGCCATTGCAGATCGAGACCGAAGAAGCGATCCATGCGTTTGCCGAAGGATGGTCGAATGCTGCCTAGGGTTAGGGTTCTGATCGGCAGATGAAGAGCGGGGACTGGCTCCCACCCCCGCTTGTTCGGCCCAGTCGGGCCTACACGTGCCATTCCTCGCCGTGACGCGCGCGGCTTCGCGGCTTGTCTTGCGATTTTATATGTATTATAACTGATCAGGCATAGTGATACGGTCAGGTATTTTGTTAGATGTCAGTTTGGAATTTTGACACGTGGCGACGCTGTCGAATGTCCTTTTCAAGCTTTTTCTTCCGAGGAAATTAAGAGGTAGCCGAAAATAAGGTTGGACATTTAAGAAATGAAATAAATAAAATATATTTTGATAGTTCCATATTATATATATATATATTAATTTATTTTTTATGTTTTTTAAAGTAAATCGGTAATGTGTGTGCGCGCGCGTGTGTGTGTGTGTGTGTGTGTGTGTGTGTATAAATATATGCAAACAACATTGAATCGGAATTTCCAATACATACATACATATATGTATGTATGTATGTAGCCTCTAGTTTATTTTTTAAAAAATGATAGTAATTATTTAGTTATAAGAGAATATTATGTTCATGGGTTTATATGCATGGTTAATATATATGAAAATTTAATATTGATGACTATTCTTAGCAAACTTAATGCAATTTTAAGTCATAGAAGGTCCACAATATCTCTAACATTTAATATTTGGTTTTATCTTAGAGTTGGATTGATGAGGCATGCATATGCCCTCATTTAATGATTTTATAATTAGTAGAATTTCTCTAATTATGTAGAGTATATATGGCCTATCAAGTTGTTATGTCGAGTAAGATTGCTCCCTTGAGCTATAGGATGTCGTTTATTAACCTACTAGGTTGCCCAACCAAGCTGTTGGGTTACCCTATTGATCTATCAAGCTGCTTTACCAAGTTTTCATGCCATGTTGCTCTATTAAGTTGCCTTGTCAAGCTGTTAGGATGCATTGCTGATCTATCAGGTCCTCTTACTGAAATGTTGTCATGCTAAGTAAGTGTCAAGTTGACCTGTTGACTTCTCTAACCATCGAGTTGATGAGCTAGCCAGCTGCTAAGTTGATCAGTTGCTGAGTTGACGAGTTGACCACATGGGTGTCAAGCGTCTTGTCGAGTTGCAAGAGCAGAGTTGAAAGCGCATGTTGGGTATAAAGGGCCAATTACCAAATATGAAGAAACACCTTCGCATGACTATAGAAAATGACATGACATAGCTAGGAGATATGACACAACATTATGAATTTTTTTCATATCTCTATGTACTTTATACTAAATTATTGTCAATGTTTATGCTAAAGTAAATTGTTTGTTTTTTATTATTTTAATTATGGGGCCCATTGTCATTTATTTTAATAATAATTAATTAATTAATTAAAAAGAAGAGGGTCATGTCTCTTCCAAATAGACAACACATCCATTCGGTTTAAATTAATTAATTAATTCAATTATCCTAATAAAAGATGATGTTTCTTCACAAAAGACATCATATTCTTTCACTTTAATTAATTAATTAAATTATCTTACATCCTATTGGTCAATAATCATCATGATGGATGGTGGTTAATAACGAATAATTAAGAGAAAGATTGTGTCTCTTCCCAAGAGACTTATCTTTTCTCTTATAAATAAGAGAAGGGTCATCTCTCTCCCAAGATGAAATGTATCTTTTCTATCTATCGGAAAGTACAGAAAGAAATAATGATTAGAGAGATAAATTTTATCTCTTAAAATTGAAGTCTATGATCATGAATACATGTATGTATATCTCGTTAAGGGTATGTGAAAATCATGAATTCAAATATCTTGGTCATTATGAATTTAATGAATTTTGGGTCATGAAATTGGATTTTATAAATTTAAAATCTTAACATATGGTATCAGAGCCAGATTGTTGAATTTGTGATTTTTCATTTAATTTTATTTATATTAATTGCATAAAATTTCTGCTGTAAATTAGATCTTGGAAATAGATTACTTAAGTTAATCAGTAAATTGAGATATTATTGTTTATTTGATGTCAATATTATGTTTAATTTGTTAGTCACCAAAGTTGTCAAATTAGTATGTTTAATAGACGTCAAATTAAATGAATTCAATTACTCATAAGTATGTGATGCTTATTTGAAACAATTTTGTATTTAATTATGAGTATATTGAAATTCATTGATTACATTGATTATGTGAATCGCCCAAAGGTTGATTATTTGTTTTATAATCTTTGAATATAATTGTAGAAATATGATTGTGACATATTTATATACTTGGTTAGGTATGTTTTATCCAAAGATAATATACATGTCTAATTTGAGTAAAAACGAGTGTCAATTATGTGAAAGTAACAATTGAAGCATCAATTATGTTTATTATTATGTATTATTATATCACCCAAAGGAGATTTTCAATACACTATTAATGTTTTCATTTAATCAGTGTGGATTGTATTAAGGGAAAACACACAAAACACACACTTAAGAAAGCTGCCACAAGAAGCACGCAGCTCTTTGAAATTATACACACTGATGTTTGTGGACTTTTTGATGTTCCATCTTTTGGTGGAGAAAAATATTTTATCATCTTTATTGATGATTTTTCACGTTATGGGAATGTCTACTTATTGCATGAAAAATCTCAATCACTAAATGTCTTAAAGGTGTTTATAACTGAGGTTGAGAGACAATTAAGCAGAAAAATGAAAATCATCAGATCCAATAGATGTTGTGAATATTATGATAGGTACAATGAATCTGGACAATGTCCAGGTCCATTTTCTAAATTTTTTCAAACTAATGACATATGCATTCAATACATTATGCCAGGAACACCGCAACAAAATGGTGTTGCAGAAAGACGAAATCGTACTCTGATGGAAATGATTAAGAGTATGATGAGTAATTCTTCTTTACTTTTATCATTGTGGATGCATGCTTTAAAGAACACTGCATATTTGTTAAACAGGATTCCTAGTAAGGCATTTCCAAAAACTCACTTTGAACTATGGCGGGAATGAAACATAGTTTAAGGCACCTGCATGTTTGGGGTTGCCCAGCGGAAATAAAGATTTACAAATTACATGAAAATAAACTGGACTTAAGAACAACCAGTGGTTTCTTTATTGGTTATCCAGAAGAATCGAAAGGGTATAGATTTTATTGTCCTAACCGCAGTACAAGAATTATTGAAGCTAAAAATGCTAAGTTCATTGAAAATGGTGAAATTAGTGAGAGTTTGGAATCACGTAAAGTGAAAATCCAAGAAAGAAAATCCAAGAAAATCCAAGAAATTAAGGTTCAAGTTTCTTTACCTGAAATTTCTTCTCAAGTTGTTATTCTTACAGTTGTTGAACGGTCTACAACTTACATGAACAACAGATAAATGATCAAACACTCCATAATGAAACTGTCATTAATTAACCTACATTAGATGAACCAAATGAAGTTGTACCTAGAAGGCCTCGACGATAAAGAAGGTCTGCTACTTCTGATGATTATGTGGTTTATCTACATGAGTCTAAACTTGACTTGAGAGTCAATGAAGATCCCGTTTCATTTTCACAAGCCATAGAAAGTTTTAATTCTTCTAAATGGTTAGATGCAATGAAAGATGAGTTGAAATCGATGGATCACAATAAAGTTTGGGATGTCGTTGAATTGCCTGAAGGTTGTAAAAGAGTCGGGTGTAAATGGTTCTTTAAGACTAAGCACAACTCAAATGATAATATTGAACGATATAAAACCAGACTTGTTGTCAAAGGTTTCACACAGAAAGATGACATCGACTATAAATAAACATTTTCTCCAGTTTCTAAAAAAAATTCATTTAGAATTATCATGATACTAGTAGCTCATTATGATTTAGAGTTACACCAAATGGATGTGAAAACTGCCTTTTTGAATGAGAATTCAGATGAAGATGTCTACATGAGTCAACCTGAAGGATTTTCCGTTGAAGGAAAAGAACACATGGTCTGTAAACTTAAGAAATCAATATACAGACTTAAGCAAGCTTCCCGATAATTGTATCTTAAGTTCAATGATACCATCACTTCCTTTAGATTTAAAGAACACACTGTTGATCGGTGTATATATTTGAAGATCAGTGGGAGCAAGATCAAATTTCTCATTCTGTGTGTTGATGATATCTTGTTGGCTACTAATGATCTTGGCTAATTGTCTGAAACCAAGAATTTTCTCTTTAAGAACTTTGAAATAAATGATATGACCGATGCATCCTATGTGATTGAAATTGAAATATTTCGTGATAGATCACAAGGATTGTTAGAATTGTCTCAGAAAGCATATATTGATAAAGTTCTTAAGAGATTCAATATGAAAAAGTGCGAAGCAGACTATCGTTGTTGCATCCACTATGTAAGCTGAATTTGTGGCATGCTTTGAAGCTACAATTCAAGGATTATGACTGCGAAATTTTATTTCAAGACTTGGAATTGTCGACAGTATGGTCAAGCCGCTGGTCAAGCCGCTGAAAATTTACTGTGATAACTCTGCAGCAATTTTCTTTTCTAAAAAAAGACAGGTATTTCGAAGGTGCTAAACACATGAAATTAAAGTACCTTGCCGTTAAAGAAGTTAAGAAACATTGGGTGTCAATTGAGCATATTAGCACCAACCTTATGATTGCGGATCCATTGACGAAAGGGTTGTCACCACCGACATTTAATGAACATGTTGTGAGAATGGACATTACAGAAACCCTTCATTAGTTTTATGTTTAGTGCTCTTTGTGTTTGAATCTTTGAGCTCAGTTTATTTTTTTTGATATTAATGTATCTTTTTTTATCGTTAGTGTACACTTTATGTTGTGCGATGTTTAACAAGATTTGTCTTTTAATAGACGTTATTGGGCCATGATGTTATTTTTCATTATGTTAAGTATGTAATTGATATTGTGATACATGAAAGGGACTGTGTCAATAAATTGATACACAACCACTATGATTGATATTAATTTCATAATTATTGATGATTTATGATTTGACCAATATAAAAGAAGAATTTTAACTTACATTTTTGTGCAGTATGTTATGCACTATTAAGTATTACGTGGGCTGAGTGGAAGAATGTTAGTTTTTCATTATTTTAATTATGTCGCCCATTGTCATTTATTTCAATAATAATTAATTAATTAATTAAAAACAAGAGGGTCATGTCTCTTCCAAATAGACAACGCATCCATTCAGTTTAAATTAATTAATTAATTCAATTATCCTAATGAAGGGTCATGTCTCTTCACAAAAGACATATATCCTTTCACTTTAATTAATTAATTAAATTATCTTAAATCCTATTAATCAATAATTATCATGATGGATGGTGGTTAATAATGAATAATTAAGAGAAAGGTCGTGTCTCTTCCCAAGAGACCTATTTTTTCTCTTATAAATAAGAGAAGAGTCCTCTCTCTCCTAAGATGAAATGTATATTGTCTCTCCATCAGAAAGTACAGAAAGAAATAAGGATTAGAGAGAGAAATTCTATCTCTTCAAATTGAATTCTACGATCATGAATACAAATATATATATCTCGTTATGGGTTTGTGAAAACTATGAATTCAAAGATCTTGATCATTATGAATTTAATGAATTTTGGGTCATGAAATTGGATTTTATAAATTTAAAATCCTAACATAAAGAACACCCAAATATTTACAAATAGTGAATTAAGAGTTTGATGGTGGGGACTCTTTAGAGGGCTTCAAGACCTGACTCATGAAAATTTTATTTTTCCTTGGAGGGTCTCCCTCCCTCCCCCTCTCTCCCCCTGCCTCCCTCCCTCCATGGCACACACATGCAAGTCACAAGTTTTTTTCTCAATACTAGTAAGATTTGAGAATAACCCACAAGAAAATCAAGGTTCAATGCTATCTAAAAAGAATGATTTTGACCTTCTATTTAAAAGGTAAGTGTAAGAGCAAGAAATATCAATTAAATAAAAATAAAATCAAAGAACTACACGATAATTAACTTATATTATATGATATGTTGATGGAGGGGAGAGAAAATGACATTGGTGCATAATGACAAGATTTATAGTAGTTTAACAATTAATATTTGTATATACTATGGCAAGAGAATAATTTTTATAGATATTCATTAGTAAGTTGAGCATATAGAATTATTAAACCAAAAAGGAAAACTTAAAGCTAAGTGATTAGGACTGAGGGACTTTATGAGTGGATGTTAAGATAGTTTTATTCTCTTAAAATAATGAATATGATTGCATCCAATAAGTAGTTTTGACATTATTTAATTTAAAAGGTAGCATCTTTTGCACGAAAAACATGATATATTTTTTCTTGGGCGAGTTTTTCCTCTGTGATGCTTATTCTTGATTTACATGGTAAGTGGAAATTTACAAAATAAATAAATAAATAAATAAAATTCATTTTAAATGAGGAAAGTGACCATTTATGTGGGGCTAGGGGTATAAAAGAGTAAAGCTCAAACCCGTTTAGTATTAAAAAGAGAAAACATATTAATTCAAACTAGTTTAATAATGAAATGATAAATATGATGGACAATTAAGAGATAATTAATAGAAATCAGTTGATATAAAATGTAAAATGTTATTCTTTAATTATTTTTAATAGTTTGAAGAAAATTAATTGAATTTTAATATATTTTAAATATATACTTTTTATTAATTGTTTTTTAATCCAAACGACTCATGATCTAATGAGTCAAATCACAACTAGCTTGAACTTGGTTTTTTTAGCTAATTGAGCTCAGTTCACGAGCCACTGATCAAGTCGAGTTTAAGTTGGCTCACAAGTTAGCTTGACTCACTTACATGATTGAGAGGCCTTTATGATGCTTACCTATCATGTGACGTGTGACGTGTGGGCCAAACATGACCATCTCTGCAAACAACAATGGAGCTTCCCAAAAAAGGCTAACCTAAAGGGATTAAATTTATCTTGCCCGAGCCATTTAAGTCCTTTGATCAAAGCTAAGCTGTGGAGATGGAACCAATAATCAAAGCTGTGGAATTGTGAAACTTTAATTGACTCGCATTCTTTCCTTATGAACCTTTGGAGACGGTTACAATACCTTAGTGATACTCTTCCAAAATCCTAATAGCTTCCTAACTACCCAAAAATCTCAATTTGACATAATAACGCAGATATCTTTTGAACGAAAACACCTTTCCAGGGTTGAGAATTTAGCTTGAAAATCATCAATTGCTCAAAAATTGATTTGAATTTTAGTCCAAATCGAGATCGGATCGAAGTAAACGAGCTAAGCTATGAGCTTAAAAACTAAAAACTATTTAATTACATTAAAATTTTTATATATTTTCACAAAATTTCACTCGTATTTAAAAATGATTTAAAATTAATTTCACCAATTTAAAAATTATACAAAATCTATAAAAAAAATTCTCTAAGTATCAAATTAATATCTTATTACTCTGAAATATTTTTTTAATAATTTTTCTAATTAATTTAATATTAAAATTTTTTAAGATGATTTCAACCTTAAAAAAAAAATAAAAAATAGCTGCAGAACCCCAAGATTGAAGCTTGCCAGAATCATGCCAATGATTTGATTTTGAGATTTTTAACATTTCTTATATTTTGATTTTGCACATTTTATTTATTGTATTTTCTAACAAGTGTTCATTAATTTGTTTCTAAATCACTAATGTATAACCAAATAAGAAACATGGACCATAATCGAAATATTTTAAGCATGTTCGAAGAGAGCGACAACAAAATTTAACCAATTTGACAACTCAACTCGACACCAATTCTACATTCTTCAATCGATTGAGCCACATAATACCACGAATCAAATCAACCACTCTGTTTAGCCAAGCAACGAGCCCACTCAATTCACAATTATTTCGACGGGTTAACTCAACAAATCAAGGTGACTTGATGAATGCAACTTCATCAAATTGCCTCACAACTAGATCACACTTACTATACAATGTGCTACATGTTTAGCCTTATCGTTGTTGATGTGTGTTAGAAAATTTGCGGCCGTAGAGTAATAGATTATCGTCTTAACGTTGCAGGAAATTTAACACACACTCGGACGAAAAAAATAATAGAAATACTAGAAGTTCTTACGTAAACAATCTGTAAAAGAAAAAACCAGTGTCTGACTCAGCTGAAAAGATCCGCTATAAATTGAAGATTATAAGTACGGTTTCTTGTCCCACATGCAGGAAAATGTTATATAACCTTCCAAGCTACAAAGTCGGTGCACGGGTGAACTCGTTGAAAGAAGTGAGCGATGATTGATGTTGATTGACGACGATCGACGAATGATGGTTGGCAGCAGTTGGCAACTGGTGGACGGCGGTAGTTAGTAGCTATCGATAGCTGTAGGAGTGATGTTGAATTTTAGCTCATTCTCTAAGTTTTAAGCTTTTCTTTAGGTTTGAATCTCCCCTCGGCCTTAAGCTCTCTCTCTCATGAAAGGGGTAAGCCTTTACATATAGAGTTTCGATTGCAATTAATGAAATAATATAAGCCACTTTGATTAGACCACAAAAAAAAATTCCCTCAATTAGATGGTATTTAATAGACATTTGAGTGACTTAACGATGTCGAAATTGAGCGATTTTGGACTCATTGGATTCTTCTTGTCAAGAAGCTCGATTTGGCCATAAGCTCACAAAATTCCGCATCCGTTGGATCTCTCAAAATTGCCGAAAAACTTATAAAAGTGATTTAATGGCTTGATCTGAGCTTGATTTGACTCACATTGAACCAATTTTGATATCATTTTATTCATCTTATTAAATCGATCAATTTGAACGTAAGTTTGTTGAAATCAAAGCTCTAAATGACTCTTAATTGAAGTTTGAACATTTCTCGCTAAAAAATTACCTCAAAATCCGTGTCATATCACAAGATTTGTGTCAAATGATGAATCTGTTGACGACATATGAATTGTCATTATTTTAATATATTTTCCCTCTTTTACAGCCATCCATGCAACCATCCATAAAGGCACCCCAGAACATATACAAAAAAGAGACCACCCAAAAAATTTTGGGGAGAAGGATCTCATTTCTTCAAAGGTTTAGATTGGATATTTTCTATTAGAAATTCCTTTTTTTTTGTTTCCTCTCTTCTTTTGTGCCGTGTTCTTACCCTTCTCCTTCAACAATCTCTTAGGCAACAATTCAAAGTTAAATCAACACACATCAAGTAAAATGACGTGATGCCTCAAAGCATAAGCTGGTGTTCAAGTTCTGACAAGCATTGGCATGATATACTCATGTACTTGCATCCACAAGATGCTTCTTTGTATTTCTATTTTCTATATACATTTTTTTATTAAAAAAACCATATAAACATATACATCAGGAGAATAGAACCGAAACAACAGAAAGAAAAAGGCAAGGAGATTGATAACCTTTTCCGACAAGAAAGTTTACATACATACCACTTAATTCTTATGCATGTACATACATAATAATAATAAATACAATTTTACATATATGCCACTTTAACTATGCATAAGAAGGCGAACTTCACTTTTTCAAAATTAAAAAGATGATATTTTTGATATGACATGAAAGATTTGGGTGGTACGAATGTCGAAAGTAAAATTTTGGCGCTGGCGCCGGTATGTATGCAAATACCCCTTCTCTATGTTGTATTTATGCAGAAGTTTACGGCAAAAATATCAATTATAAATACTATAAAAGATAAGCATTCCAGAGACAAAAAAATATCTGAATTCAGTTTCTGAATTGAACAAAGTGTAATTTCCTCTACATCATCTATATATTATTATAAAGGGAGCAAATAACAGACTAAAATTGAAAAGTGAGATAATTGAGTGAGTTAAACATTCTGTTGTGAGACAGGGGACCGATGCTAGGGTTCATATCTTTAAGAACCCTAATCAAATTAACGTTCCCCTGGTAAAATGAGAAATGCTGAATATTAGAAGCCTCACACATTGTTGAGGCCAATGAGTTTCCCCTTAATGCTTATTTCCAAAGTGCCACCATCTTTTCTTTTTCTTGACTTCTGCTGTTGGAAGATCTGATAACAAAATGAAACAATCAGAAGATATGCTGTTTAGATGTAGGCATCAAATTTGATCTTAAATTGTGCAAAAATATTTTGGACGATATACATACATACCATTCAATTCTTATGTATTTAAATATCTGACAATAAATCTTTAATTTTTTACATTTATACCACCTTGCCTATGCACAAAAAGGTGTATTTCACTTTTATAAAGTTAAAATAGTAGTGTTTTCTTATGTAAAATGAAATTTTTGGGTGGAATAAAAAAAAAAAGAAATGTTTAGGTGTTTGATATGGAAATACATAGGAACTGTGTGGTATGTATGCAAATGCCCCAAACATTTTAAATTACTCATATGGTGGGAGGGAGAACTCACCTCCTGCAGGATAGATGGAGTTATAGTGAACCTCAGCCCAGAAGCTTAAGAAAATAACTGCATAGCAAATTCAGTCAATGTATCAACAGATTTGTAAGAGATGAAAGTACACTGCTAGAATTTTAATGCAGGCATAGTGAAATTTAAAGAATTTATTCTTAAATTAAAAGATAAAGATTATTTATTTTTGAGAAAAATTGAAAAAAAATATCTCATGATATAATTCGATCTTTTGAAATTGAGGTTGCTAAATTAAAACATGATACTTATGATATCTCTAGTAAAAATCAAATTGAGAATATACTAATGATATCTCTAGAAAAAATCAAATAGATTTCGTATAAGACTAAAACATTAGAAAAAAAAAATTACTTTAATTCATTATCTAGCAAAAAGTTACAAATGATTTTGATTTTATGATTGAAAGACTAAGAATTGTAAATGCTTGCCTTAGAAGCAGATTAAAGATTTATCTTTTATTTTTTCTACTGGAACAAGTTCTATTTCTCGTATGTATGGTTCTACATGATGTAATTTTTTAAAGCATAAAAAAATTATTTTTACAAAAAATAAAATAAAATTATTTCATGCTATCTTACCAGTTATCAAAGGTAAATTTTATAATGGGCTCACACTAGTTGCTTATGCATATGCATTTATAAAATCCACATGCGCAAATTAAGATATTCTATTCATTTATTCTATTTATGGATCTAACATATCCATGGACCTAGCCGCATCTACACCTTTCTTTGAAGCCTAAGTTGCAACTCTTTCTTCTCATTGTTTGTGCCCTCAATAAATTCTTAAATTTTATTTTTATTTTATTTAAGAGGATAATAACTTTCAAGATGGGCACTATTTTGATTGATAATAATTTAATAGAGAATGAGAAAAAAAATTTAAGAGTATATGTTACTAAACTAAATAAAGTAGAATCGATTGAAAAGACAATGTAGAATTTAGATATCATTTTTGTCTAGGAAAGTTTAGAGAAACATATTATAGGATTAGAGCTCAGATGCTCAAACAACTTGGGGTAGACATTCCATATTGTCCTAAAATAACATCTACACAAATTCAAAAAGTTCAAAAACTAAATATTAAAACTGGGCCAATAAATAAATAAATAATAAAATAAAATAAAATAACATCACATTTAAGAAGTTTCCCTTCATTTTTTTTTTGGCAAAGTTGCTTCCACTATTATAACAGTAGATATATTTTTAGGATTGAAAATTGTCCCCAATAAAATAAGGAAAAGTGTGGGAGCCCCACTACTATTGAAAGAACATCCAATTTGCAAACTAGAAATTATTTGCATAAAAAAATTGCACGCATGTTTTATTCAGCAATCATTTCATTTCTTTTGACAAAAAATTCCTATTATTTTAGCGCTTCCTCATGTGCGGAAAATAACAAATGAAAATATTTAAATGGTTTAATCTTCTAAAAACAATTTCGCTATAAAAGCAAAGAGCAAATATTGAAAAAAAAAATGGAGCCTATGAAGAACACTTCAAATGTGGAGTTATCATAATTTGTGATGACTAGATAGATGCACAAAAAAGAACTTTCACTAATTTTATGGACATCATAAAATCTTGACCTACATTTATAAATGTCATCAATCATGGGGGAGCACATAAATATATGTTTTACATTGCAAATTAAAGCAGAAAAGTGATTATGAGTGGGTGCAAAAAATTGGTTTAAGTATGTAGAGCAACTGAAACATCGATTGAGACTCCATACAATAATATTTTTTAGGCTCCTTATGTTATTAACATATTGAATCTTTTATTTTAAAGAATATTTGTGCTCCAAAAAATGTGATGAATAATGAGATCATTTATGAAGAATGTAATTGGATCAAAGTCATTCCTTGAGATCTGAAAATATATCAAATCTTCATCAAGAATCACCCGATGAGATTGCCAATTTTCAATGAGTTTGTGAAGGTGAAAAGGTTGGTTATAGCATAGACTCATTTTACATCAACAATAACTTAGGATTAAGTGATTCAAAACAATAAAGTAAGGGTTATAGACAATGGTTATTAGTGAACAGTAAAATACGTATTACAAAGATGATATAGATGAGAAAAAATTTGTAAAGAGAATTGAATGGTCAATGATAAAACAAGATATCATATAATATTACTTTTGTAGAAACATTATGTACCATGCTAAGGGTAGCTGATTTAGATAAACCTCATCTCCACCTTGTGTATTATGATATATGAGAATTTAGGATAAAGATGAAAATGATTATATGTCAACATAGAAAAATAGGGACAAAAATAACTCCATTTTTTATAAAATTGTGCGTGACAATCTTATAAAAAGATGGAATAAAAGTAACACACCATTTCATTGATCATCTCTCTCTAAATCAAAGAAAACATTGAATTTTCTCATTACTCTTAGTTTATCATATATTGAAATGAATAATGTGACTTATTAGTATTATTTCATTATATATTACAATTATCTTTTGCTAAGTGAAGCTCCAAGTTATTCCACATAAAAATATGAACATATCAAAAGAGGAACAAATGTCCAAAAAAAAATTTCAAATACTGAAGATAAACTGATGATTAATTTAGAGTTTATCAACTTTTTTAAAATACAATTGTGCTTTTATTTATCATAACTACATAGTTTTTTGAAGCCCCACGGATGGAAAAATTAGTTTCTAAAGGCCCTACGGATCAAAAAATATGATTGATAATTTATCGAGCTAAATTCCCACGGCTGCAAAATTTAGCTTTTAAATTGGTGGCTCAATTATGCTCATCTTCTTAATATGAAAAAAAAAAAAAAAGAACCGCGTGACCTTTTATTGATTCATTGAAGAAAAGAGACTGCTGACGAAATGCAAAAGTAGAGGTCAGGGAAGTGAAATAAGAGGTTCACACCCTAGAAGGATTAATTGCTAATACAAGTCTCACACACAATCCGGATAAACCATGGTAGATGTGCATGTCACAATGCACGAGCGAGCTAGAAGCAACTAAGCAGGAGAACATGCTTATCTGGTTGATGAAAATGGAGGACGATGATGGAGGACCTAGGCACCAGCTATCGCAAGAGCGTGGGAGCCAGAAGATGTGAGTGCTCGCTAGAGCGCATGGACATATAAAGCTAGGGTTCCATTTGTGCATTTGGAATACAAGGTTACGGTATCAAAACATCACCAGTTGAAAATGAAAATTAAGTTAGAAAAAAGGGGAGATATTAAAATAAATTGAGAGTAACTGCTCCCGCCCTAGGAGGCGAGAACTGCTCCTGCTTTGTTCATTCTATCGTATCAATAAACACACGAATTCAGAAAACCGCAACATCCCAGTTCCATTTCTTCCTTTCGATCGCAATAAACCACAGAGAACGATTTACTTTTTTCTCTATAAATCCCGCTCTTTTAGTATTGTGAGCCAACACACAAATAACACAAATGAAGAACACTTGGAGATGGTGTATAGAATTCTAAGGTTTCTCACAAAGACTCTTAGTTATGGATTAATTTTTAAGAAAACAAGGAATTGAGAGAGAATTTCCGAATTGATGCTAGTTGGGCTAAGCAACCACATGTTACTGTTCGTATGTATGAAAAAATCTGGTGACATGGAGAAGTAAATGATTGCTTCTATAAGGAATGTCGAATCAAAGTATATGACACTCGTCTTAGGAATCTGTGAAGGGATCTAAATTTATAAATTTTTAGAGAACTTAGATGTACCTCCAATAGACCTATGCAAATATTTTGTGACAACAAAGCTGTAGTGAGATGTGTACTTCCTGACATATAAATGAAAAACGCAAGGAACACAAACAAACACAGATCGTTTACGTGGTTCGATCCAACTGGATCTACGTCCACGGGAGGGAATCAATCAAATAGTTCACTAAGGCAAAAGAAATGGAGAATACATAGCTTATACATAGAGATGAGCCCCCATCTTCCTTCTATGGCCTCCCTCTCAAGCGACACCTTGATACAAGGCCTCAAGATGCTCTCCTCCTCTCTAGCTCTCTAGCTATTCTCTCCTCCTTTGTGGTAGCTCAAAATCTTTTCCCTTACTTTCCTAGGCCTCACACCCTCTCTATTTATAGAAGCAAGAAAGTGGTAGGTGGGAGGTAGGTAAGCGGTAGGTGAGCGGTAGGTAAGATGTGGTAGGTGGCGGCGTCATATTACAAAATTGCCCTTTTACCCTAATTCATTAATTGGGGGTCAAAATAACAATTCTCCACCTTGACCCTCAATTAAGAAGCTTCGAAGTAAAGATTCCCTCCACCTGACCCCTGAGAGGGTCTCAGCCCTTGGTGAAGTTTACTAAGTCCAGACAGTGTCTGAACTTAGCTGTCGGTAGCACCTTGGTGAACATATCAGCAGGATTTTCTTCAGTAGGTATCTTCTCCACTACTATTGAACCCTTCGCGACCACATCCCTCACAAAATGAAGCTTTATATCTATATGCTTGGATCTTTCATGAAATACCTGATTTTTGGTTAGGTGAATGGTGCTTTGGTTGTCGCAAAACACAGTTATCACCTTCTGATGTATCCCAAGCTCTTCAGTCATGCCCTTTAGCCACATAACTTCCTTGATTGCTTCAGTCACAGCGATGTATTCGGCCTCTGTTGTTGAGAGGGCCACAACGGATTGGAGGTTAGACTTCCAACTGACTGCAGTACCGAAAACAGTGAAAATGAATCCGGTCAGTGACTTCCTGGTGTCAATGCTTCCTGCATAATCTGAGTCCACGTAACCAACTACCTTTTCTTCTTTGTCTTCATGCATTTTGAAGGAGTATAGGCGCTGCTTCAGAAAGAGCCTATTAGCCAGAGACTTTGTCAGGTAGAGTACCTCGAGTTTGGCCCAAAGCGCTTGAGTCGTTGTCTCCCTCGACACCTCCCTCAAAACTTTGTCGC